AAACCTGAAAAACAAAAGGTTGAAGATAAACCAAGCCAGATTAAGACGCAGGTTACAGAGTCTATAAAGCAAGTAGAAGTTCCTGTCAAAGGTGAAGATTCCAAACCTGAAAAACAAAAGGTTGAAGATAAACCAAGCCAGATTAAAGCACAAGTTGCAGAGCCTAAAAAACAAGTAGAAGTTTCTGTCAAAGGTGAAGATTCTAAACCTGAAAAACAAAAGGTTGAAGACAAACCAAGCCAGATTAAGACGCAGGTTACAGAGTCTATAAACCAAGTAGAAGTTCCTGTCAAAAATGAAGATTCTAAACCTGAAAAGCAAAAAATTGAGGATGAAGCAAGTCAGATTAAGACGCAGGTTGCTGAGTCTATAAAACAAGTAGAAGTTCCTACTAAGGTTAAAGAGTCTAAACCTATCACAAAAGAAATTTACCCATGTTACTTTACAGACTTGGTCAAACCTTACTGGTTCAATTATCGTCCTTACATCGAGGCAGAGATCAATTTCCATCGGTGTTTCAAAGTAGTAGAGGTAATAGAAGAAAATGTGCCTGCTTCTGCACCTCCAAGATTGGAGAGTATCGAAAGAATTGCTCAAGAATCGATTATGAAGGAGCCTAAAGAAGAAGAAGAGAAGTCAGAAGACACGGAGCAATCTGAAGCTGAAAGCAGAAAGCTTTCGCTTATCAAAGAAACTCTGAAATATCCTATTAGCACATTTTACAAAGTAGAATCCGATTGGGTGAAATCTAAGCAGACTAAAGAGAAAGAAGTTATGGCAACTCCTTTGGAGGAATCTAATCTTACAAGCGTTGAAATTGCGAAGGAAACAATGCAGATTCAAGAAGATAAAAAACATTCCGAAATATTAGATGCTCAAAACATTTCAGAAAAAGACATTGACAAAGAGAAAACTATCGCAGAAATAACCACGGAGATTAAATCTACGGACATGATTTTGGACCAAACGGCAGCTCTTATCGAGAATGTGAATAAAGAGCTTGATATGATGAAAAAAGAGAAGGAGCAGAGTACAGCCGAGGGAAAAGTAGAAGATAAAGAGGAAGAAAAAGAACCTGAGATACGGAAGAAGGAGCAACAAGTATCTGATAAGAAGCCGAAAGAGAAATCGAAGAAAGAGAAGCAGCCGAAAGATGAGAAGTCAAAGTCTAAGAAAGAAGAAAAGAAGGAAATGACATCACCGGTAAAAGAACTTGAAGTAGTTGAAAAGAACGATATTACAGAATTAACCAAGGCTGTGGAACAACTTACTATGATTATTCATGAAGAAACTAAAGAAGCTTCATTGGCATTCAAACAGTCTGAAGAAGTTGAGAAGAAAGATATTGCGATTGTACAGGGGACAGAGTTGGCACAGACAACTGAACAACTTGTCACAAAAATAGACGAACCTTCGGCAGTTCAAATTATCGATCGAAAAGAAGAAGAAAAGATAGAAAAGAATATTACAGAAGAAGAACCATTAATCACATTAGAACCAAAAATTGAAGAAGTAGTAAAACCTGCAATCGAATCTTCTGAAGTGGAGAAAGTGAAAGAAGAAACGAAATTAGAAAAAGATAAGAAGGAACATGAGAAACAGGATGAAAAGAAAGAGATTGTTCCAGAACCTCAGATCCTAATTGAAGAGAAAATTGAGAAGGAAAGTGAGAAGGTTGAAAAGCCTGTTTCTGGAAAGAAGAAAGTTTCTAAAGAACCTAAAAAGAAAGATGTTAAAGAGATAACGAGAGAAGAAAAGTTAAGCACAGAAGAAAAAGCCTTGTCGCAAGAATCTATTAGTGTCGTGACTGAATCAACAGCAACTGAGAAATCAATGAATGGCAAAGTACCAGAGATAGAAGATTCGAATGCATCTGAATCTCCAGTGATAGAAAAGAAAACTAAACCCTCGGATAAGCCTAGGAAAGAAGAAGGAAGGACAAAGTCAGGAAAGCAGAAACAGCCTAAAGAAAAGTCTGATATTAAATCTACGTCTACTCCAGAAAAAGATGCAAAGAAACAAGAAGAACAGGAAATTTCTTCGCCAGATTCGAAGAAGAAACGTGATGGAAAGTCGAAAAAAGCAAATGAAATCCCAGCAGTGGTTCCTCGAGAAACACCTTTGGCTGAAGCTCCTTTGGAAGAAACTAAGAAAGAAGAATCTCGATCAGAAATAAAAGAAATATCTAAGGAAGAAATTCAACCGGTATGCGCCAAATCATGGGCATCTGTCGTTGGTATGAAAGGAACTAGCGATCTTCCTGCAGAAAATGTACAATCTATGACAGTAACTCCTCAAGAATCGATAAGTGGAACAGCAGAATTAGGCAAGGTAGCACAGATAGTAGAAACTGTGCCTGAAGAACCACAAAGCCCACAAACGCAGCATAAGAAACATCAAAAGAAGAAAGATACGAAACAAGAAAAGATTGTTACCGAAGCAAAAGTGTCTTCCGTCGATACTGAAACTGAGAAAGAAAATATGAAGTCTGTCGTTCCTGAGAAAGTTGAAGAATTAGAATTAAATATGAAAGATTCTAACAAATCGTACGCTCAAGTAGCAGCTTCTAGCAAGGGAACTTCTCCACAATCGAATCAAGAAGACGTTGTGTTACTCAAACCGATTCCTCTTATGCCTGATCAAAGCTTAGATAAACTAATCGAAGACGAAAGAATTACATCTGAAAAATCATTAATAATCACAGAAACTCCAGAGGCTGAAAAAGAAACATCCAAACCTGAGGAAATAGCAACAGATAAAAAGTTCAACGAATTAATTACTGAACAAGACGTTTTCAAAATAGAGTCAACTTCGTGGGTAGAAGAAATTGAAAAAGAAGCAATGGCGGAAGAAACTAGTTCTATGTCGCCAATTCCAAGCGCGATAGTAGTCGAAACGCCGCAGAAAATGAAGGATTCGTGGGCTACTATTGTTAGTAAACACGCGGAACCGCAGGAACCTCTCTCATCGCCCACTAGCGAAAAGATTATGATGAAAAAACAACAAACTGCCGAACAAAATTCTAATCCCCAAATACAAATCCACGTGGAAGAAGCTCCAGAGCCGATATCAATTGAAGAAGTGGTTAAAATCGACGAACAAGGTTTTATGGAATTCGTAAATCGAAAAGAACTGCGATCTAGACGATCGAGATCGCGTTCCAGAAGCGTCAGACGAGACGAAGCAAGCTCGAAACAGTCGAGTGATAAGCCTATAGTTCCTGAAGAAATTTTGGCAGAAGAACAGAAGCAGTTGGGTGCGCAAAAAGTGGAGGAACAAAAGAAAAAAGATGGAAATAAAGGAAAGGAGGGAAAATCGAAGAAAAAGAGAGGTGAAGCAAAATCGAGCAGTAGAGATCGCAATCAGGTGACAAAAGATGAACAGGAAAAGGATAGAGAAAGCCTTCAGAAGGAAAAAGATAAAGAAAAGACGAGTAAGATCGAGGAAAAGGATGTGAAGAAGATAGAGAAAGAAATAATAGAGCCATTAGTCGAGGAGAAGATACAGAAACAGCCAGAAAAGAAAGATACTAAGCAACACGAGGGCAAATCGAAGACGAAAGAAGTTAATTTGAGCCAAGAAAGCAAAGAAAAGGCAGGAGAGAAAGTTGAAGAAAAGCTTGATGAGGAAGTGAAAGAAATAGAGGTTGTGAAGCCTGAAACTCCAGAAGTAGATAAAATAATCGAAATGGATAAACAGAATTCGAAATCAGCAGATAAATGGAGAAAAGCAGAAACAAAGGAACAATCTATTGCTGCTTCAAAGAAGAGTAAGAAATCAAAGAGAGGAAAATCTGATAAGGAACAGCCCAAAGAAGAACTAGAACATAAAGAACAAATCAAACAATCGGGTGTTGTACAGGTAACAGAAATACAACTGAAATCTGAAGATGAAATTGTGAAAGAACCAGAAACTAAAGAAGTTAAAGAAATTCTAGAAGTATCAGCAATTACAAAATCTGAAGCTGAAAGTAAACCTGAGATTGTGGAAGAAATTAAATCTGAAAAATCAACGTCTCCAAGAAAACGTAAAGGAAAATCTAAAGAAAAGAAAGTAGAGACAGTATCGGGAATTAGCGAAACATCGATTGAAGAAAAGAAGGTACCTGAATCTAAAATTAAAGAAGAAATACCGGCAAAAGAGACAGAGGTTCAAGAAATTAAAAAAGTTGAAGAAGAAATAAAAATTACAAATCCTGAAAAATCAACCGACACAGAGAAGCATAAAGAAAAATCTGAAGAAAAGAAAGTAGAAACGGCACCAGAACGAATCATCGAAACATCGGTTGATGAGAAGAAAGTATCTGAACTTGAGATCAAAGAAATGTCGGTAGAAAAAGTAAAGGAAGATGTAAAAGAAAGTGAAGCAAGTCAAAAGAAAGAAATTGATTCTAAACCAGATGTTCCTGAAGAGAAAAAAGAAGTATCTGCAAAGGAAGCAACTGAGGAGAAACATAAAGAAGAACCAATTAAGTCTCCGCAAACACCTGTTGCAGAAATGATTGTAGACACTAAAACAGAAACAGCAGAGGTAAAAGATGAAGCTCATGCAGACAAAAAGTTGAAACTTTCGAAGAAGGAGAAACGAAAGCAAAAGAAGAAAGAAAAATCAACTAGACGAGCATCCAGCGAAGAAAAATTAGAAAAGGAAACATCTGAGACGTTTGTTCCAGAGAAGAAAGAAGAAACAGTAACACTGGAAGAAATAAGGCCAGAAGAGGCAAAGCCAGACGAAGTAAAGCCAGAAGAAGTAACTATTTCATCTGATGAAACCAACCAAGAAAAAGAACTTAATGAAAAACTACAAGAAATTAAGAAATTGAGCGCAATCATCCCTGGGGTGATTCCTGATGAAATAAAGCTTGTTCCAGAAACTATGCTTAAACCGATAGTCAAGGAAAAGACAAAACCAAGTAGAGAAGAAACAGAACTTTTGAAACCAACTGAAGAAAAGGAAAAAGTTTCAGGAGAAATAGAAAACTTTGCTGAAAACAAAATCGAGACACCTAAACTAGTTACAGATAAATCTGAAACGCCCAAACCAGAGATAGATAAATCTGAAGTGCCTAAACCAGAGACAGATAAAGCTGAAACATTTAAACCGGATAAAACTGAAACGCCCGAACCAGTGACGGATGAAGCCGAAAAAGACATAAAACAGAAAGAAGAACCAACATCAGCTTCGAAAGAAAAATCGAAACGTAAGAACAAACAGGCGAAGAAAGGTAGACGTGAAGAACAAGAAGCAGCAACGAAGTCTACGGATGAAGAAGTTCAATCGCCAAAGGATGAGAAAGAAATTGAAATATTAAGCGCAGGTTCTACTGTTCCATCAACTCCGGAAAGTCCAAAAGAAACAGTCGATCGAGAGAAAGACGCGACGATACCTGAAGAGAAAATAGAATCAGGTGCACAATTGAATAAGTTGGAGATTGATGAAACAAGGATCGAGGAGGTTAAGAAAGACGAGGAAGAAGCGAAGGGTGTCTTGCAGGAACAAGTTGTTTTGAAAGAAACAATTATACAAGAAAAGACAGAAATATCTGCCAAAGGCCAGGAAGAAGTCGATCTTCTACAGAAAACCGCAGAAATTCCAGAAGCTCAGCCTCTAGAAAAGAAACCTACGAAAGAAGAAAAATCTAAAACGAAGAAAATTAAAGATAAGAGACAGGAAGAGACGACTAAAAATGTCGAGGAAAAGATATCTGAAGAGGAACCAGTAATTTCCAAAGAGGAAATACCAGACAAAGTTTCTGAAGTTAAAACGGATAAAGTCGTTCCACCCGAGGCAAAACCGGAAGAAACCATTAAACCTGCTGAAATAATAGTGAATGGTAAACTAACAGAAGAAGATGACAAAACTGAGAAGGAAGTAACAGAAAAGAAGACAGAAGAAATCGAAAGGGCACAATCGGGAATTGTAAAAGAACTCGAAAGTATAATGCAAGAAACCGATCAACTTCCACAACGAGATATATCAACAGAAAAATTATTACATAAAATTGAGTCTCCCATAACCATGGAATCGATGCAGTCTCAACTAGAAACCGAGGAAGAATTCGAGAAATGTATATCCAGTGAACCAGAAATAGAAACGGTAGATATCGTGGTCGAGCCGGTGAAACCAAAAGTACAATTCTACATAGCCGACGAAATTCTAGTTCTAAGTCCGGAGAAGAAAAAACCCGTACAAACTCCCCTAATCTTAAAAACCCTGTCAGAACTCAGTAGATCCAAGTTCCTTTCTCTTGATAGCGGTTTTTGGCCGGACAAACACCCCTATCACGAGGCTGAACGCTACCTGTTCGAAAATTTGGCTAACTATCCGATGGAAAGTCTTTCCGACGATATCAACCGCGATTCTAACGATAAAGATGATTTCGACGGGGATCAGGGCGGTGGTAATTTGAACGAACGCGGCGGTAATGGTGGCCCCTTGAATTCTTATTTCATGGGTGGACCGCATACCGAACGTCTGATCGCCGATCTCCCAGGTGGTATAGGTAGCTGGAGCGATTACAGTACTTACTTGTCGAGCGAGAACGAGCAGAGAACGAACCAATCCACCGAACTGGTTCAGGAAAAGATCGAGAATCCAATGTCAGACCTAATATATCCCTCCGATAATCTAATTTCTGAGTTATCCTCTGTCCATCTCAAGGACGACCAGTCTATTTCCAAATTCGACGAACTGTCGTTGGAGCGTGACGTTCCTACAACGTCAGAAAATTCTGAAGATGTAAAATTGTCGTCACTGTCCACTGTCGAAGTATCCGCTTCTGGCGAACAACCCCTAAAGCTCGATTACAAGACCGTGAGCCCGGATCAACTATCAGAGTCCACTTATTCCGATCCACGTGAGTTATCCTCAACACCAAGTATCCCTGACCATGATCCAGATCCCAAGAAACATTTAGGTAGAGAAAAAGGATCGATGCAGCGGCGCACTCCAATCGTGGAGACGGAGAGAGAGATGGGGGTAACTGAAGATGAGGCTGAAAAGAGGATACGAGGGATCAAGGTGCGATCACAATACAAGCTGTGCTCGATCATCACCCAATCGAGCTTGAACGAGTTCATTATGTTTCTTGTTGTTCTTGTTACTGTTGTGTTATGCGAACTCGCGTGTGGCTATATGTATTATATGTAGGACACGCGAGGTCGCGTAGGAGTGTGTGCGCGCGTGTGTGCTTGGTAAAGTGTTTTTTACTGTTTTCTTATGTCTTCGTTCGTTGTTGGTTTTATTCTTCTTTTTTTCCAATTTTTTAACGTCTTTTTTTCTTTCTCTCTCTCTCTATTTTCATTTTTTCCACTTGTCTCTCGACGTGTGTATACATCGAACGTATATTATACTTCTTTCTACTCGCTGACTCTGTACGTTTTCACTTTGACAGCCGCTGTTAATAGTTAATTACCACTGTTAATGCTGCTACATTGCTGTTGCTTCTCTCTGTCACCGTATAGATCTTTGTTTCCTTCCTTCATTTGCATGCTATAGTTTTTTGATTTTTATTGATGCACGAGAGTAACGTTACTTGATTTTCTGGTTGCGTTGCGGTTCACTTTTCAAAATTTATCTCGCGATAAATTCGACTTGGAAGAAAAGAACATTGACAGAAAATAATTCTTTATAATACCGATTAACTTTATTCTTGTTCAAGGAAGCAGTTTGTAGTCACACGACACGTCACGTCGACGTATTTGATCAACAGAAATCCCTCTTAAAATATTACGTAACATGGTGTATTTCTCTAAACCTTTTTATCTTAGCGAGCTTTCCCTCTTATGGTCCTAAGAGAGTACTTCTTAGAGTTTGTCCAATGTAAAAGATCGATGTTACACAATACTATAATAAACCCGATTATTAGAGCGCCCTATAGCGTTATAACAATTTCTTGATTCTTTTGTCAAATCTGCATGAATATAGCTATATCTTCTAAATTTGTTTAATCATTAAAATCAAAGAAATTGCAGCATTTTTTGATACATTTATGTGTTTTCTGTCTGTGCCCCCGTGTTACGATTTGCTACAAATTCGACGAGTTCCTCTAATCCATCGATTAACAGACTGGTATCGGACGTGCACGGCATATTTTCTTCGCCACAATCAATCTTCACGTTCATTAATACATCCCTATGTTACAGGATATCATACAGGAGCGCCTAATGGTTTTACAGTTGAGTCTTTCGAACCTAAAGGGAACTTACTTGCCACGAGATAGCATAGACTCTATGCTGTCTGCAATCACGGTGAGATTATACACAAAAAACAATCTTATAATATTTTTCGATATCTTCCTTTTTAGAAAATTATTTTATCATATATTTATTTGAAATTTTCACAGATGTATATTCGGATATTTCACTTATTCTGTGACTTGAACTATCGAAATGATTTTCAGAATCTACTAACGGAGCTCCAAGGATACGATCAGGAAGTGGGTCATTTAGAAGAAGAATTGCGTAAAATTCCAGCCGATTTGGAAGCACAAAAGCTTCTGTCGAGTCTAGAAGAAGTTCAGTCTCGCATCGCCACCCTTTTATCGCAAGCGGAACAAGGACGCGCTACTTTGGAAAGAGCGCGTGGCCAACAAGAACAACGCGGCCACGATATCCACGAATACAAGAAATTCTTGGACGAAACGGATAGCTGGCTGAAGAATATCGTGGCCGGTATAAAGCAGCAACAACCGCCCACCACGAACAAGGTGCGTTTATATGAAATAAAATTTATTTTCAGCTTTCGTGGGTGATGGTACGATGACACTTCGAATTGTACACAGAGAATCGAAGAATATTCGGCACGTGTTTGCGAGCGTTTACAACAATTCTATTGATTCTCACTGAACGCAAATATTGTTCTAATATTTCTCGATCCTCTGTTCTTTTCCAAAAATCATGCAAATCGAAATCGCTTGCATCTCATAAACTCAGAATTTTCATATCACGATTCTGCATTCTTATTCCTATTGCTAAGAAAAATTGGCAAATATCGGACACGATAGTTGATCGCGATTTTTACAACACACGGACCTGGTCGACGATCTCGTAATCCCCCGTTTTAGAATGGCGGCGTGCACGATTTATTTTTAAACGAAACCACGATATGCGGAATCACGCATATAAAACGTCTGTCTGTGTGTCTCTGTGCCGGGACAGGCTTTACAGGACGAGCTGAGCAGTCACGCGCAACGGGTGTCGGAGCTTGAATCGTTGCCAGAAATCAGCACGCTGGCAAAGGTCCTGAAGAATGCGCTGTTGGAAGTGATGTCGCGACTGCAGCAAAGGCAGCAGGTATCCAACGTTTTCCAATGCACGGGAGCTTTCGCAAACTTCGCTGGTCTTCGCGCAACAGTCTCGTGAAATACACGATGATACAGAAACAGAGAGTTCTAGGAGTATGAAAGAAACTTCAAACGAAAAGAGAAACGAAACTAGAGTTGAATAGAATTATTTAACGAATATTCATTACATATTACGTAATACTTGTTTACATTTATACGAATAGACGTAACGTCATGATTGACTTTTCAATTTAACATATTTCATGCAACACGATTATTGAAGCAGAGAATCGAGAAATATGAAATGAGAAATTAAAGAATGAAGAGGAATATTTAGCAAATATTTATTATATATATATTTATACGTACGACTTATTTTTATTTATTATATTTATACGGACATATAAATGTAGCACCATCGATTAATTTAAAATTTAAAGACAGGTAAACTTTGGTCAAATTTCTAATCGATTTCTAGTCAAGTTCTAGTCTATTTTGGGATTGGGAGTAAAATAAAAGGAATTATTCGGTCTCTTGTCGATGCAAGAGATCTACTACAAGAATAATAAGGATGTGTACAGAGTATGTATTATATATTGAGAAATGGTATACATATACATATAATACTGCCTGTATCTTATACTTTAGTAAATACATAATGGTAATAGGGTGATAGATATAGCGAAGCATGTAACATTCTTTTTGTTTCCTTTCTGCTTCTTAACGTAGTAATTCATGTTTGTTGTATCACGTATCATTTTGCACGATATTTATTAATGGGTAAATTATGACAGGATAAGGTTCTAGTACACTTGTCGTTTCATCTACTTTTATTTATCTTTATGTCATTGCGTTTATTTCTCATCTGAGCTTCTCATCATACGCAACGAATATGGCGAGTTAAATATCATAGGCGTGTTAATCGACATAACAACTTGAACCACTAAAAATATATAGAGTTTTTTATAATTTATGAAAAATGACTATGATTATCAGCCCGCCATTACACCGTCATCTTACGCTCATCGCACTGTCATCGTTCATTCTTCTCACAACTTCACGGTGTATTTATTTATATATGAAACTAGCACTTTTTATGTTTCTTTTAGCTTAAGGTAATGAATGTAATTGTATAGGTGCAGCATTTGTTTATGGAATGTTAATACAGTTACTCTGTAATTTTTTTCATGCTGTAATTAAAGTATTCTCATTAATTCCCATCTCCCCCCTTTTTTATTTATCCCTGGATATCACCAAGAAATTCTACGAGTTCTATGTACATATAGACACTTATGTATTTGTGTATATGTAAAATAACCTCTTTCGTTCGCAATATTGCTATTAGAAAAGTATTCAAAATAGCGTCTCGTGGAAATTTTAATTGTTTCTCTATTCAGCATCGCTATTTTATTTTCTTATCTTTTATTTTCTTTTTTTTTTGTTTTTGTAAGTTTCGATCCGCTTTTGATAGATAAATTTCCGGTTCCCTTTTTCTTTATATCACATATACGTAGACCACTTGGCGCGCCTAAAATAAACGCATTAAAATAAAGTCGGACGTGAGCTAAAAATACGACAGTGTTACGCGGAGTGTTCTTGTCTGCAGATATTCTCGTTCTTACTCCTCGATGATCATGTTTTCTAAATAATTCTTTCGTCTTCGTTTTCACCGACATTATGCAGGTGCAGCAATACTGAAATCGAAATAATCGAAGACCCAATCATCGGATAATCAATGTGGTCTCCCGCGTAAAAAGCCAGTGATTAACGTAGTGCCATCATTAACACAGACGCGTTAAATTTTGCTACCACGACCCAGTGGAATCCACTGTTACTTACGCCATTGCTTTCAGTCCTGTTGTGCAATAGGCTTTTTGGACAATGCGACGTAATAAAATCTGCCATTATATCTGGTTGAAACTTGAAATCTAAATGTCAAGATACGGAGTAGCAAAGTAGCAAAATTTAATAGCTTTATTGTTAGAGCTTCAGTCGCATCATCCATAAAAATAAACTACATACATACAATGATCAACGTATATTTAACACTTAATTGCTAGAGTGCGATTAAAAATATAATACTGCTAGATAATACAACTTAATTTTTTACTGTGGCTCCTAATAAAACATCCAAATGTGAAATTGTACGTTACACTACATAATTAAACATTTTTCAAATATCTAGCGGAATAATGTTTATAATATAGTTAAGGGTTGAAAGACAGTTCTATCATTATACGAGAAAAAGTAGATGAAATTTACGATGAAAGATTATTTAGAAAAACATTGCAGCAGTCGAAGAACCAGCATCCAGGATGATCAGACAGGTATCTTGAACCAGAATCGTTTCTTAAATTTTCCAGGAGGTTTGCGATGAAGAGGCGCAAGCGGACGAAACGTCAGACCGAGATGATGCCACCCTCGATCAGGCACCCTCCATTCATTCGTCCCTCGAAACTAGTATGCCGTCTTTAGCCGATGTTTCTCTGCAAACAGGACAAAGTCTGTTAGCGAACATCGTCGAGAAACCACAACAACTGACCAAACAAACGTCAACAAATAAAATGCCAGTTTCAACAGAATGTCATTCTTTGACCACGCAAACCATGGACATAGCACACCCAAACATCGAGAACATTCAAACCCAAGAAACGATAAAGATTCTAAAAACCACAGAAGGTGATCACGATGTGATCGAGATAGCCACGAAGAACGTACCTTCCTCTTCCGCTCAGGAAACCGATCAGGAACATGCTGAAGCGACAGCAGAGGACATCGTCGTTGATATGAAATACCAAGATCCCACGAACGCTGACAATACCACCAGTGAGTTAAATATCGTTCACGCTGCTCCACAATCATTCGAAACTGTTCTGGTCGAACCAGATGACGTGACCACCGAAGTGGTAGTAGACGAAGATGGTTCGAAGAGGATAATAGTAAGAAAATTGAGACGAACCACGATGACTAGTAGACAAACCACTCAACAACACTTATCGTCCACGTCCACGGCGATTGGAGACGCGCCATCCGTGGTGCAAGCTTTCTCAGAGGCCACTATGAAGGATCAACAGGTCACGGTGACTACTACGAAGCCAGATGGTACGATAGAAACCACGACGAAACAGATTCATGGCGGAAAAGTAACTACTGGAACTCCTTACAAAGATGTAAAGGTGGAGGAATACGAATTGGCGCCGCAGTATACGCACATGGTGACCCAAGGTCACGTTCAGGACATCAGTCCACAACCTTTCGAGGAGGGACTGCTGATGGAAAGTGGAGAATATCGGGCGCAAACGTCGAGCGTGCACGCTGTGGTACAGCAAGTTACTAGAAGAGTGATTCGAAAGACTAGGAGGATTATTAGGAAAGTTACGATTGTGGACGGTAAAGAGACCACTACCGAGGAGATCATAGAAGAGCCCGAAGAAGTGGAGATCGATGAGAAGAATATTCCGCATATTAGCATCAACGTTATTAAACAAGAGGAACAGAGGCAGTTTCGAAGCGACGGAGCTACAGGTGAAGAGAAGACACCAGAACGCGTTTTGGTCGAAGAAGTCACTGACAAAGAAGAGAAAGATTTGAAGGTAGAAAAGATCGTAACCGATGACACACCCATGCAAGGACCGTTCTTTGGAGCATTCGCCAAAGACATGCACCCCAGCACGGTATATATAGAACCAGAACCATTGGAAGAAAAGCCATTAATCGATATCAAAAAAGATGTTCCAGTGACCGAGAAGAAGGAAGAAAAAGTTGTAGACGTAGCTATTCCAACAGAGAAGACTTTGGAGAGTCAAATGGAACCTTCGATAGCGGATATTCGAAAGGAACAATCTCCGCGAACTCCCGAAGAATCTTTATCGCAAATTCACCTTGATGACAAGAGCTCAAAATTGGAATTCGTTGAAAAGAAACCTGAACTAGTGGACAAGTACGAGCAGGAGCACTTCCTGGTCGAGGTAAAAGACAAAAAGTTGCTTCCGTTAGCCAGCCAGGCGTTCATCGATGCTGAAGTGTCTGCTGCATTGCAGAGTCCAATCGGAGAGATCAAGATACACGAGACACAGGTACAGCAAGAGTTAGCGAAGTCTTCGATCGAGTCGATCGTATCGGACGACATCACTAAGGCGACCTGTAAGTCTGTCGATGCACCAGTAAGCAGAGAAACACCCGGTATCGAGCTAGAAGGTCGCACGGTAGATGTAGAAAAGCACGATGACACTATAGGCACCGTAGATGTACTAGAGGAAAAGCCATCGATCGAAACGGCGACAGCAGGAGCACCAGAATCGTCGGTAGGATTTGCATCAACGGAACTACAAAAGATAGTTGACGTTTCAGAAGTGCAACCTACACAGATCGAAGGGGCAGTTTCGACGATTCCATCGACGGAGTGCGAGAGGCACGACGAACCGGAAATTTTACCTATACACGTGAAACAGCAGATAGTGAAGAACTCGTTCATTCCGGAGATCGATTACTCGGTCGACGACTACATGGACGAAGCACTGAAACCGGAATACAAACCGATCTTCCATAAAGTGGAGATATCTCTGGCTGTGAAGAAGGACGGTGAAGAGATGCAGCCTACGGTGGAGGTGAAGAGTCAGGCTGAACCGGAAGCAGCTCCTCATCGTATAGTGAAAGAAGACGTCAACATCAGTTTACCTGCAGACAAGGAGAGCAAATTAATTATTCACGACAAGATCGTACAAACTTCTCCACCGGTTGCTGAGCCTACGATCGTCAGCTTGGACAAGTATGTCGGTCTCTCAGAAAGAACAATGATTACCTCGGATAAGTTTACTATTACATCGGAGAAAGAGGAAACTGACAAGTCTGTTATCTGTTCGGAAAAGGAAGGAACTTCTGACAATGTGATTACGTCGGAGAAAGAAGACGAGTACCAGACTGAACCTGCGATAGAACCTGAAGAAGAGAAATTTGTACCGTTGGTTGAGAAGATCGAAGAAGAGGTTAAGTCACCTATGTCGTCCATGGAGACGAAATCAAGCGCTTCTTTGGTATCCAATATTGCAGAGTCTATAGAGATCGACGTCGCGTTATCTGATTCTTCGAAACATATCAGCGAAGCGCCACAGCCTGATATCACGAAGATGTTGGAATCCAGGGAGCTAGAGACGTTGCCGAAAGACGAAACATCGGAAGGAGAAGACGGTTATGAGGCGGACAGAACGATGATATCGGCGACAACGCCGGATGACGAGAGTGTGATGAGGATGAAAAAGAAGAAGAAGAGGAAGCAGAGAATACGAAGCTTCAAGGACGAAGAGCAAACGGAATTCCCAGAGACTAGCTCCGACGATGAAGAATTCACGGATGATCTGGCGCCGATGGAGAGCGAATATGCGAAAGCCACGAAGAAGAAAAAGAAGAAAAAGAAGCGTGCAGACGTTGACGTAGGTAAAGACAAAGCTCCAGCCGTCACATCGAACGAGGCAGACACACAGACTGTTCCACAAGCGTCCAACGTTTCTGTTGCTACGTCGCCAAAGCAAAAAGAGATATCAGAAATTTATATTCAAACCTCGCCGCATTTATTAGAGGAGACCAAGACACCAGAAATCGTAAAAGTTCACGAAGAAGCGCAAACTTCTTCAATTTCGCTCGAAGATTCGGAAACGATTGAAACACCGAAAATGGCGGAAATTCACGCAGAGATGCAAACGTCTCCGTTGTCTGTTTTGGACTTTGGCATGCAAACTACACCAGAAAAAGAACCTGAAAAATCGACTACTCAACACTCTGAAATGCAAACGTCTCCGTTACCCGCTTCAGATTTTGGCGCTCAGGCTGTTACCGAAGAGCCACCTCAGATAGAAGAAACGAGCACTCAAACGATAGAATCTCCTGAGAAGAGAATGGAAGAGTATGCTGTTCAAACTAGTCCGATCGAAGATACTACGGAAGCCACCGTTCCAATCGAAACTGTAGAAATTCAGGTTCAAACGGTAGCAACGGATGTAGTTTCTATCGAGGCACAAACGTCGCCAACTGCGCCATCAATGGAGATGGAGACACAAACAGCAGAGAAAATGGTTGTCGCTGTCGAACAGCAAACCACTCCGCCACCAATTGAAGAGAAAATTTTAGCTGGAATAGCTACTCAAACTGTGACTCCTGAAGCACCTAAGACCATAGAAACAGAAGCACAAACTAGCAAGCCAACCAGTCCAGAAATAGTTACGTTGGACTTCAATATCCAAGCGGATTTGATAGAACATCCTTCTGTCGAGATAATGGAAACGCAAACGACCCCAGGAGAGAGTCCGCGGCAGGCAGACACTCAAGAAACCGAATCACAGACGATGTTGGCCGAGCCAACTGAAGAAATCATGATACAGACCAGTCCAGTTACATTTTCCCCTGAAAAAGTCGAGGTTTGCGAACTGTCTTCTCAGACCAGTTTAGAAGAGAAGAAAGAATCGATGGATGAACAGTCTCAGACTGTCATACCGGAGAAGATAAAGACATTGGACACCTCAGTACAAATAAAGACGTGCGAATTATTGGCACAAGTTGAGGAAAGTGTACAAATCATTCCCGAAACTCGCGAAGATGGCGCGCAAACGAGCGTCGAAGAAGAGAAACCGTTGTTGGTGACGGCTTCACAGCAAACAAACGATGTATTACTAGTACCTCGAGAAGAAAAGGAAGTGATTAAAGATGAAGAAGGCAATGTGATAGAGGCCACGATAGACGTGGTAGATGCAGAGGTAAAGATGCCTCTAAAACTTACAGAAATTCCAGTAGCACCTGATGTACAAGTACAAGAATATAAAGAATACCTGGATACGAAGATCGAGGAAGTAACAGAACCAGAACCTGTTATGAAAGAAACTATTCAAGAGGAATTCAAGGACGAACAGAATCTCTCTGAGAAGATAGAGAAATCAGAAATTGAGGAATCGGTAGCACGTTCGAAGGAAGATACCGAAACTACGGATGCTGAATTTAAAATCCGTTTGCAGGCAACCATAGAATTCCCAACTAGTGACACTACTACCGATACAGCGAGTAAATTCACTGATAGTTCGCAAGATACGACTATTACAGAGGATTTAAGCTCTACAGGAAAAATAGACGACAGCGTTGGAAGGAGGCAGAAACGGAAGAGGAGACACAAGACCAACGAAACGCCCGCAACGACTGAAAAGGATCTGGAATCCATATTTGGACAACCTGTAGAATCGCGAGATGTGTCTCTAAGATTGTCTTATTCCGATGTTACCAAGAAAAATGTAGGTAAAGAAAAGTCTGCCTCTGGCGAACCTGGTTTCTTCGAAAGAGGCTTTGACGACGATGATACTAAAATTGTCCCGGACGAAAAGGTAGACGAAGAAATTATACAAAGCGCATCATTGACAATGATCGAACCGATAGCAATTAAAGACGCGCCAGATGTGTGGACGTTAGTCAAAGACGAAGCAGAAGGTCAACAGGAGTCGATTGTTCCACACATGCCTTCACCTGAACCAATGGACACGACCGAAGAACCATTTTCTCCTGCAGAATCAATAGAAATTTTACAGGAAGATGACCGGCCACGAATCAAAACTTACGCGGATATCATCAGTGAATCTTCGAAAAAACCAGGAAGGGATCAATCTTCGTGGGAATTGTCTCATCACGCGATACCACAGAAGGGCGCGAGTTCGAAAGCTTTCTTGTTAGCTGAAACAACAGAATATGAACCTCAACATCAGATCACGCAGAGCAGTCAAACGACCAAAGCGATCGCTGATCGAATGCAGAGCCTTCGAAACGCTAAACAACCGAGTCATCTAGGAAACATTCTTCATATAGCTCATCTGGATAAAGTGGCAAATGAGAAACTAGCTGAGGAACGAGCTGCAGACGTGAGGAAGGAACTATCTCACTTGAGGGACGCTGCTCAAGAAAAAGACGCGATCGCCGTCGAAGAAACTCTGGTTGTCATCGTAGATACGATTTCCACTTGGTTGGAGACCATCGAATACAGAATTTTCTTGAGCAAAGAGTGTCCTACTGGTCCCTCTCACGATGATAAAACTTACGTTGAACTGAAGGACGAAGTGGAAAATGTGGAAGAGAATATTCAAGAGCTCAATGATATTTGGAAATTAGTGGAGACCAGTTATCCAGGGGAAGATAGGAAAAACTTGCAGGAATGTTTGAACGCTCTCATGACTCAGGTTAAGATGATCGAAGACACGACCGACGATGGAGAGAAACAACTTACGAGTGAGCTCGCTAGGTGGGATGAATTTGTGAATGGAGTGAACAATATGTACAGGTGAGATATTTATTCCAAGTCAATAGTACCCTTTATCCTTTCTAATGTTTATCCAAAGTTTAAAATTCTTCTATTTTCTTTTTCTTTTATTTTAATAGATTAATCGAAGAACAACGAAAACTGCTGAACGAAATCATTGAACTCGAAGCATCCACAAAATGGAAGCTACAAGAGCTGGACAAACTGGAAAATATGAACCGGTGTCACATGTGGAAGACCGCAACATTGCTTACCACTTCACACGAATTACTACGCGACTATCCTGGAAAACATATTCCAGAAGAGACCTACGCGGCTCACGAGATGACGAAAATAATCGAGCATGGAATATGCATCGAACGTGAACGTCTCCTCCAATTATTAGCCTTAGCCGAAGAGTACGAACAGACTCTTCGAGAATTCGCTCAGATCACCGAAATCGCGGAGAATCTATTAGAGAGTCCTATCTCGGTGATGAGTTTAGAACATTTACAAGAGGAGATGCAGAAGCACAGGAAGTTCTTCGTGAATCTAAACCATTGTCGAGCAATTCTGGAGTCGCTGGAAGGAAATTTGGACCCAGAAACCAGAACTAAATATTCAGATCTTCACGAAGAATTGCATAGCAGAGCTATATCGTTGCTAGATCAGGCCGCATCTAGAGCTCAGCAAATGGCTCTGGCTGCGTCTAGGTGGATTCTTCTGGAACAAGGGGTGAAAGAGGAGAGAGGATGGCTCCAAGTTGCTCATCAACGAGTTCCTGATCTCCAGACTGTGACGTCGTCTGATTATGACCAGTACATCTCCTTATATCAGGTAAATTAATATTTTCTTCTTAAAGAATCACAGATATAAATAATATCACGTATTTTGGTTTAGTCTTGTATGAATTAATTCGAGCTGCTTTTTATGTAATGGTATCGGATATTGGATATTTAGCGTGTATTGATTTTCACCGAGGGAAGAGGATACAGCGGGTACATACGTACTTGATATTTTTCTAGTCTCTGGCAATGGACGTTGCGACACACCACGCTCGGCTTATTCAGCTTCTGAACGTGGCACGCAATCTCCAAGAATTGGTGAACATCGAAGATCCCGAAGATCGTTATGGCGAAGCCTTAGACGTTATCGTGAAGCTTCAGGATAACGTAGAGTCGTCGTTGAGGAAATTGTTGGCGTTTAGAGAGAGTTGGTGCAATCAGGAAGCACTAATGAACCGTTTGGAGAACTGGATGACGTCGGTGGAGAAGGAATTGGTCAGTATCCGCGATCCTTCAGGAGGCCATATACGCCAATTCTGGGTAAGTAATGAAAAATCGTTCGAACGATTAATATATTTCAAGAATTGAGTTAAAAAAATTGTTACAAATTCCTACGACCGAAGTTGAAACGTCGAAATTCTTTACACGTCGAATATTTCCGTCTTATTAGGAATTGAAGGCGCAATATGAGGTGCACAACAACATTCGAGAAGAAGCTAACAATAGCTTCGAGCAAGCCCTGAGAATAATTCCCTTATCGGACGAGATGTTGCAAAGGCAGTTCCATCGTGAGGTTCAAGATCGCTGGAGCGACGTCTCGCAGAAAATAAACGACATTCAAGAGCAAGTAACTCGAAACATTTCCTCCGAAGACATTTCGTCCAACGAGAAGCTAAAACTCCTTGAGCGAGAACTAAACGAATTACGAATAACCGTCGATGGTTTTCACGGTGTTCTAAAGACAGAAGAAGAACTAGATCTATACATCGAACGTTTGACAGTCTTATTCGATAGGATCTGCTTGATCCAAGACGAGCTAGGTCGCCTAGGCTTGCTTCCCGTGGCAGAGAGCGAGAAGGTCGGTGTTCTACTATCTTCGGCTCGCAGAATAGAGAGCCAAATTAGCGAAGAGTTAGACGCGGCACAGTTGCTGAGGGAAAGGCTTCAGGCGATCCAGCGTGGCCTTAGCCGCGTTAGAAAAGCCCATCAACGACAATCGTCTATATTGGATCAATGCGAGGGAAGCGAACAACAGGGAAGCGAAGTAGTCGCTGCTGCTGTGGATCGATGTCAAACTGTCGCCGACGAACTGGCGATTTTATGGCAGGATATCATGGGCCTTAGACAATTATTACACACTCTACCCACAGTAATGAGAGTCTCGGTATCGCCAGTCAGCGTCGAACGAGACATTTCCAACCTTCAAGACACTCATACAGACTTAGAAGCCAGATGTTCGCGATTGTTAACGTTGTTGAAGAACAGGCTCGCTTTATGGAGAAGATTTGAGAAACAGTTGGAGATGGTACAGCAATCGGTTCAAGAGGCTGACTACATGATGGAATTGTTAACCGTGCAAGGATCTGTCGATTATGAAAGACTGCTGAAAGCTACCGAAAGGCTAGAGGTAAGTTTGAACTTCTATGTCGATCGTGCAAAGGTAATCGTACGTTGTGTAAGTACGTTGTTCTTGGTTGGCTACTTACGTCACGCGAGCTAATTGTCGTTAATCAGGGAAGAATCCTAATCGAAACCGTGAGTCGATTCACGGCCCCCGATGTAACGTTTCGAGGCATCCAAGATTTACAATAACACGCCCCCGGTACTCGTATGCTCGAACATTCCTTGAAAGTCTCTCGCGCCTCGGAATGCGTTAAAACTTGCAGAAGTTTGAATAACTAACCGAATGGTATCGACCGGCCTGCTTTTGCGCGCCCTCGACACCTCCAATCGTTCGCAATTGAAGAAACTAGTATGTAACTCCATCGTACAGAAAGCATTTCTATGAATATTCCAAAATAAGTTTCGCATAAAAGCTGGAAACCTAATATTGGAAACTTTGTTCATCGGAAAATATATACCTATGTAATCGACTTTTCGCCGATTACTATATATTTCCAAAAATAAGAAAAGAAGAAAATAAAAGATATTCTGGAAGGTATAATAAATTACGAATATTTCAGGTATGGAAGATTTCAAAGCTAAAGTTAAGGTACTTAAAATATATTTGCTACATACATAGTCAATCTTCGAATATTCAAATATTCAGACAATCGACTTTCATTCAAATATTTCAAACGTAAAACTTTTAAAAGTAAAACGAGAATTCGCAAAAATTAAAATCCACTTACCCAACGCAGATTATCGATCGATCGACGCTCTCGCTGTACATCGAACTTCGAATATTCCATTTTTTAAATCTTTCAAATTAATACAGACTGAAAATTAAAAACACGCGTTTCTAGAAATTAAAATGAAATGACGTACGGAAGCATTTCGATCGATGCTCTCACCGGAAGACGCACTTTCCTCTGCGATAACCTTCGCCACGTGCGAGGAAAGCGGCGCGATTCACAGAGCGCGCAGGCGCCTAACAAGTCTGGGATCGGTGTTATCGGAGGTCGTGTATCAGTGACACGAGTTCCGTGGTCGCGGTCGTGTCGAGCGCGCGTATTTGAACGTTCTCGTTCCTTCGTACAGTGACTGGCGACATAAGTGACACGCGAGTGCGTTTCTTCTTTCTTATTAAACAATCTTCCACACTATGGAGGTCCTCAAACATTTCGATTTCGTTAACAAAATGAAACGTAAGAAATATTAAAAATGCGGCAACGCGAATCATGTGAGAAATTGGTGAAACGATCGACGCAAATGATCGTAAGAAACCGTCGAGCATACTTGTGCCCTGGACACGTCGAGTTGATTGAACGGAAGTAAGCATTGAATATTTATAAAAATGCAAAGTATCCGAACAATTGAAACTCGAGGACGTATCGAATTCTTCTTCAACTTCGTTTCACTATTACGTTAGAATATGCAATGTAGAGTTTGACTATCGTTTTAGGACATACGGATACTTTTTATTTATATGTTGTTAGTTCTTTATTATTTATTTTTCTTTTTTTTTTTTTTTGTTTCGTATTTGATATTTTTGGAGATAAGGGATAAACGTAACGGTGGAACGATAGCAGCGAACTCGTAATGTTTTGTCACTTCGTGGTGTCCCGTGTGTCGTAATCCTCCGTACAAACAAACCGAACCAGGTCGAACAATGTGTATACAAATATGCAAAAAACGGAGATGACTCGTTATAGAAGGAACATAATCAACAGCTGTGCTCGAAAGTCGTTTTTAGTTTCGTTGAAACAAACAGTGTAATGCTTATGTTCCGTGTCTAAGTAATTAGAAAAAATTAGTCAGTTGACGATTAAATGGTAATCGGCAACAGGTCGGGCCAAATGAATTGTCCTTGACGAACAACAGATATCGAGACATCGCGAGTAAAATCCCTCATTTACATTTTTCATGTGCGACGGTGACGCGGCCTGAAATTCTTCGATTCCACGTGACATTATTTGAATTACAAAGAATAAAAGAAAATCAATTCAAGGAATAAAGAAGGACAAACGAAAAGAGAGAAATGTTTACAAAATTCAATTAAAATCTTTTTTATTATTTTTCTTACGCTAGAATTGTGAATTACGATAGTCTAATTGGAAATTTTATTGAAAAATAACGAAAAGGGAAAAAGTATTTAATAGAAAGGTGCAATGATTCTTTACTGCTCCTTCTTTATTTATTCGCAATGTAAATTATAACTTCCACTTGTCAAATATTTAAATATCAAAGAAGAAAGTGCAGTAATACTCCAAAACAACGTAAGAATAAAATTCTCCCGTGGCAATGCTATAAGTAATAAAAATGATGTGAATCATAATAAGCGCGATGCACGTCGAAGTAAAAATGAAGGAAACGAGCATGCAGCAGACGCTCGCTAATCCACATTGATATAATTATATACGAGGGATGACACAGACGAGCACGGTGGCCAGGATGTATGACGCAGTGATACGGTATGTAAACTATGCCATGTGGAAAAGCACGGATTTACCTAGCTTGTAAAGGAATCGATGTTTACGATCTCAGTACGGTAACGATTGTTTCCGATTAGATTTGTTTTCCAAAATCTTTGCCACGAGTTTACAAAATTCGGATACAAGGACAACAAGCGACCGCACCCAGCTGCGCATTTTCGACCTCCTGTTTGTTATTCCGCGTGCGGTACACATATGGCTTTGTTTGCTATAGATGAGTCGTTTTAGATAAGATTCTCTTCCTTTTTCATTAGTTTTTTAATTGGGGAAGCGAATATTTTTGCAACAGCTCGGTTTGTTTGTTAATTATTTATACAGCGATTAATCTCGAGATGCTTGTGCTACAAGAACAGATAATTATTATTAATATATTCGCATATGAGAAAGGAGTTTCACAAATGAACGATACTGTGGTGTCGTAAAATATGACTCTTTATTCAATTAACTACACGCGAAAAATCTTTTCCGCTTAAAATTCATATTTCTTTCAGATATTTTTAATAAAAAATTGTTTTCTTCGCGTTTCAACACGACTACGTTTTCGTTGTGCAATGCTCCTTCGATTGCTTTTATTTTTGACGCTCGGCTGATAACGTCATAAAACACTCGAGGAATTTTATTCTTGTCGGCTATATCATATAAAGCGGAAGCTCCAGGCCAGTCGCAACTTCCTGTTCCGTTAGTTATCGCAATACCGCGCCCACAAGAGCAGGCCGGTGCATTTTAGTAACTTCCGGCTCGCGAAAAATCGACCGATCAGCTTGGTTAAAATCGACAAGTGCACCATCGGCTGCCACCGTGGCACTTGACGGCTTGAAATAGACACGAAGCGAGTCACGATTATCCGAATTAATCGCACGTTACACGAGTTTCGGGATGCTATTTTCCTGTCACGAAATTCCATTTCATTTTTCAATTAAAAAAAATTCCTAAGTAGAAACATGCGACTTAAGATTATTCCAGGACAAAAGATACTAAAGTGAAACTTTTTACGAGCGTTAAATTGGAACAAATTTCCCTTCATTACAGTTTCACGCGATTTGTTCACGAAACTCATAGATTCTCAGCTAAATGAAACTTACGGTAATTTTACTTCGCTTAAGTATCAGTTTAAAATAAATTCCTCGTTGAACATGAAGCGAAGAAAATTATAGAATTTGCTGAACGAATTCGAAGAAAAAGTTGCCTGGTGTAAAACGAGGTTTCGCTAGAAATGTACTGGCGGCTATTCGATTTCCGCCAAAAGGTTTCGCCGGAAAACCGTCAGCCAGGTGAACGAACTCGAGTACACGACACAAAATTAGTCCAACCACGTTCTGACCGAATTCGAGCCACACAGGCTTCGAAACGTGCTCGTAGTCTCGTGACTCAAAATTATTTATAGTGCATATTTAAAGGAAATTGGCACGTGCATTCTTCGAGCAGCAACGGCGATATACACATTGTTATGTAGTCGAATGTTATAGCGATTCCAACGATATCCCACGATCGTGCGAATATCCCGCGCTCCGAATAGTATTCTTTGCGTTCGAGAAATACGAGCACTCGGGCAACCAGAATTTTCTAACGAGTTGAAACTTCTGTCGAGCCGGCTCCAGCCTATACAACTTATCTTCCTTAGTTTAGATGTCCAATCTAACATTATTCCATTTTTCAAGGTATTATATTGAAATATTAAAATGTCTTCGTGTTTTCTACCTTTTAAGTATTGTTATATCATACAGGTCGTTAGGAAGTAACGATTAAATATTTGACATTGAATTTTAGAGGACACGGACGATGGAAAGAAAATGATAAAACTTCGAGCTTCTTTAGTTTTAAAATGGTAAATAGGACGTATTAGTTAAAGAGAGTAAAATATTTCTAATGCAGTAAATTAGATAATCCCAACTATTTTCTTTGCTAATATCTCTTTGTAAATATCCAAGAGACTAAAATATGCTAATAAAGATAACTTTATGTGGACGAAGAGAATTAGAAAACGTGTTTGAGAGGCCTTTCGAGTTAATAGCTACGACGGTCGCAATTAACCAAGAGATCATAGAGCAATACATTCATCGTTCGATTAATCGTCTCAAGAAACAATGGAACAATATGCAAAGTCTCTTCCTGTATCTATTCTTCCTGTGCTCGAGGTTATATAATGACTTGACGATTCCACGCGGTGGAAAGGAATAAAACCGAACCTTCTCGTATCGATGTAAAATATCGCGGAACGTACGTCAAAGATAATTTTAATCATTAGTAATATGCATGAAACGCGTGTAAAGTGTATTTTCCCTGCTTAGAATGTTTATCTTATATGGAGAACCCGTATACGATGAAATCATTAGCCAAACGCGGTTATCCTTGGCTACATCGTGATATATTAACATATGCCAATGGAAAATAAAGGTTATTATAAGAAGAAGTAGCGAGTAAGAGTCAACGAAGAGACAGTTAATCGTTCGTACAAAATCAATTAAAGTTTCATTGAACCCTGGAGGTCCGATAAAAGAAGCCTTTCTGCGCGAGTTCGCTTCTTTGATCCGTATAGCGAAACGAGGATAAACAAACCGATTAAAGGAACTCGACCAAATACGTTTAATCGTATTGTGTATCGCACAATAAAAAAGGACACAGGGGTCCTATAATCCTTGGTAATTGATCTCCTATAGAAGATAGATTTTACCCATTAGGGAACTAAAATATTTCCAATTTTTATAAATATATTCCAACATTATTATATTATTGCATTTGTTTAAAATAGTTACATACACAAATGCACATACTTCCTCTAAGTAAAAAGCATCGAATTAAACAATGCTAAAATTTTATGAACTGTTCCAATTACACCGAACTTCTTATCAAAGAATTCCACTAAATCTTTCGTCGAGTTTCTGCAAGTTGCTCCGACAATATCCGAATTCACGTCGGGAAGAGCACAGGAGAGGAAGAGAGACGAGACGCAAAAACTTGTGTATGTGTGGCTTGTGTACGAACGGAAATATTTTATCTTATTGCAGGGTCTGAGCGGTGATTTGGGCGCGCGAGAAGTTCTCATTGGCGAATTGCGAGAGGCTGCCGAACCTCTGCGGGAGGGTTGCGCTGCAGAGGTCCGCGAGAAGGTCGAAGCAGCGGTAAATGAGGCCGTACAAGCCTGGGAGGACACCAGGGCCGAATTAGATGCCCTTTGCACCAAGTATCAGCACGCGTGCAGATTGTGGCAGCAGTACAAAGACTCGAGCGCCGCTGTTAAGGCCTGGGTGGACACGCAGATGGACAGCGTCGCCAACCTGCCACCTGAAGAGGCCGTCAAACACATCAAGGTACGCGCCAACGTCTCTTTATTTACGAAATTTGCACAGCTGGCTAGTTAGTTTATTGGTCGATTGGTCGGTTGGCACATGCCTCCACTCTTTTGAATTTTATGATACTTTGGATTTTATCTGAAAGGAGAGGAAACACGAGATACAGCGTTATCGTGAAAATGAAAAATTGAAGCGTGAAGAGATTAGGAGAGAAAGAAAGAGAGTAGCTGAAAGTGGAAAGTTTCTGTAAATCTATATTTAGCGTGCGAGTCATCGAATTTGGAATCGTAATTGGCTCAAACTGTCAGATACCACCGAAATTTTCTATAGCCTTTGTTGCCATTTCTAAACTGGGGATTCTATTGTCTTTCGAACGATTCAGAGAGTAAACTGTTTTTATCTCTCTGACTCATCGGTGAGCATCGGCTAATGAATTTTGCCGGTAACGCAAGTAACCACGAGGGATCAACTGGCAAGGTAAATGTGATTAAAGCTAGCCGTATATATCGTAATGTTAGATTAGACTGTTAGACGAATACGAATGTAAAAAAAAAAAAAAAAAAAAAAAGC